TTGGTGGGGGTTTTTTTTAAATATATTTGAATATTTGATGCGTCTCCTTTTTCCTTATCTTGGTGTACGGTCAAGGTATAGCTTATGCTGCTGCCCTTATGTAAGGATGTGTACCCTCACCCAGTATCTCAATTTTTAGTATCTTATAGTTTAGGAAATAACTACATTGATGCTGCATATGTCAAGGGTGGCAGGAATCTACAGCTTGGCTTTTTTTAAGCCGTTGTGTTAATTTTTTATTTGTTTTTGAGGGAAAAGAGGGCCTCAGCCTATGTATTACATTACATAAAAGCGCATAGAAAAACACAGGAAATCAAAGCGACTCTTCTATAAATTATTCTAATTCCAACCATTTCTTAGCTGCAACGCAGAACAAATGAGTAGCACGAGACTAATTTGGGGGAGGGGAATTTTAGGAAATGGTTTGGGCTACATTGATTTCTTAACTATCATACCTGAATTTCACTGCCCAATATTTGCTCAAATGAGGATCTGAATCAGTAACTCTCTATCCGAACTCTGAGCTTGAGAACCTGTTAACTGAACATCCGAGTCTAAAAACCTCAAATCTAATATACAAACTTGCACTCGATGTCGAGCTTTCAAGCTAGAAGGAAAACAAAGCAGATTACATAAATAACAACATATATATGCTTTATACAAAGACAACATATTCACATGAAAACTCAGTTTCTAAGCAACACATAATTTAGGGTCCAACTGCAAAAGTAGAAAAAGAGAACAAGGAGCTATTACTGAAGAAGATACCAGGAACAACAAATCCTAGATATGTTGCAACACACAACCACTCTTTATTCTTCATTAGCTTCTTCCTTATCACCTCTAGCCTCCTCATCGCTTCTTGCTGAATTCTCTCTATCTCTACCCGAGCTCGATTTTGGATTTGGCTCTGATGGTTGATCATCTTCCTCATCAGATTCCGACCATGCCCGTCTCTTGCGATTTGAAGGTGCACCCTTTAAAAAGTCAAGCAGACGAATTATTGTCACTGAAGTTAATTCTACATTTGACTCTCGAATCTTCATATTTCTAAAATTAGACCTCCAAATCTTCATACTTGTTTGAAATCGGGGTCTTATTTTATTTAAAAACAACTTAACAGATTTGGGGTTGTAAATTAAAAATAGTTAATAATACTATGGCGTTATTTAAAATAATTTAATGAATTTTGGGGGGTCTACTTTATAGGTACGAAGATTTGGGGGTCTAATATAGAAGTAACAAAGATTTGGAATCTAATATAACAAAACCCATTCAGAAAATATAGAAGTAACAAAGATTTGGAATCTAATATAACAAAACCCATTCAGAAAATAAGAAACCCAAGAAGGTAGGGCTGAATTGTGCCCTGTAAACTAGATTGGGCATCCATGTTTCTAGGTTACAGTGAAGTATATCATCACTTACCTATTTAATATATTTACAATGAAAGAGAAACATATTAACGATATTTAAGATACGACGGGGCCAAGAAAGATAAGTAGGCTTAGGAGTTGGGAAAACCTTGTTGTAAGCAATTAAGAAGGATATGATAATTGTAAACTTCATGGAGGAGATAGCCCCTAACAGAACTAAAACGAAGAAATACACTCACGTAACCCACCCAAAAAATTTGTACAAAGGTTAAGTCATTTGTTGTAAAATGCAAGAGGAAAAGATATTACCATGTCTTCTTCAGCATCAGAATCTTCAAGACCAGAAGCGACAAAATTATCTCGTGTTCTGTCTTCTCCATCCTCCTGATCATTCATTGGGTTCACATCTTCTCCATCCATTTCTTCATGCTCATCCTCCATTTCAGCTTCTTCTTCTTCTTGTTCTAGTTCAAACCGAGTCTTACTCTTCTTCTCCTTCCTTCTCCTTTTCTCACCCTTCTTCCTCCTCCTCCCACCATCTACACTCTCATCATCTTCACCCTGAGTTCTTTCTTTCCGCTTAGTGCTTGGAATGCTAACGGACTTCCATTATTCCTACAGAACATGAATGCCGAACATGGATTGAGACCACCATGATGAATGTAAGAAACTTCTAAAATATGTACCTAGCTAAAGCCAAACATTCCAT